CATGTAACCCCTTATATCATAAAAAAAACTAATCTAAAATATAAAGTTAGATTCAAAGTATAAAAGATATTACTTACATAGATTTTAATAGGAAAGCAATAATTTTTTTTTAGGAATATTTACGATTATTTATTTGTATCTCGATATTTGTTATATCATGAAAATTAACCATGTGCCTACAGATTCTGACTCATGCCCCACTAATGCAAACTTTTCGAGGCCGCCAATAGCGTAATACAAATGGATTAACAAATTACGTTTATGATTTCCCATTGACACATGAGTAAACTCGCGGTTTCAGGGACTTATAACTTCCACAGATTAAAATACATAACCGTTTATTATATTAATAGCTCAAGCTCTATCGAAAGTCCTCCATCAACTAGAATCACGGAGTTTATTTGACACGCTGATGACAGATCAATAGCTAGCGAGAAACGAGTTCGTAGAATGGAGAGTTAATCTTTGTGATCTTATTGATAAAGTAGAGTTCCATAGAGTAAAACTGCCAATAACATAGGTGTCGATCGAATTGTATGACGAGCTTTGATCACCCATCGCTTTACAACTTTTATTACAAATCAATAATCCAATAAGTTAAATGTAGAACCATTTCCTATTATATCGTTTTGTAAACGAACTTTGTACATATAAACCAAAAGCAATTATAATAATGACTTTTATACGTGTCATTGACAATGACATCAATAAAACCCAAATAGATTTCCAAATGGTTTTTGTAAAGATCAATTTAGGCGACATCGATTGACCATAGTGCGCATTGTTTGATTGGTTTTATACGTAAGCATTATTATCCGCCACGGCCTCACAGAAAGGCGGTGTTAAATATTTCTTTTGTTACTTTTCACCGAGTAATTGAGGTTAGGTAACTCTAAAGGGGGAGGGAAGTCGCGTGAGCTTGAGCTATAGCTATCTTGAGTATGTGCAAGTCAACGTTAATAAATAATAATACTAACTTTATTTGTTCTCTCACACAGACTGATACATATGTAGTAGCTTAAACTACCAGTAGCAATTAGTATAATTACATTATATCTATGTGAGAGACTAGTGTCTGTACCAGGAGACACCTACCTGTATTACAGATCACCAGTCTCTAGAGACTCTGGACAGTTGGTTTCAGGTAAGCAACATCTTATTACTATGCATTAGATGTGTGAAAAGTTATTGGGTTCCGAGGATGTGCGTTAGTGTATAGTGATCGCGTGTGTGTGTATGTGCGTGTTTGCTCGCGTGTGTGTGCGCGCAATATGCAGTTCTGTGTGTGGAATCATTTACTAATTTTCTAGGACGTTAGAATTGTTTGATAGAAATAACTTTACGTACTTAACAAAATTAAGATCAAATAATTTGGAGAACTTATCGTGAGGTTATTGACTTGAAATTATAAATATGTATAAAGGTGACTTGACGTACCCTCTTTGTAAAGATTCCTTTAGACTATAGTATTCCAATTAACTAGAGTCGCCAACATCATTATTACCCTCACTCCCTTCATTATTAGTGTAATCTGATTTGCCGTAGTCTTATTTCGAAGTATCTACCGTAATGTACAATTATGTTTTGTCATTGGAAAATTATAAGATAACTAAAATTGTAAAATTTTAATGACGGCAACTAATAAACAATATATTGTAATATCTATTAGAATATGGTAAAGAAATAGTCGTGGTGAATAAAATAAAAAAAAAACACCTATAACGATATATCGAGAAGCGATTCTATCCGATCTACACGCGCTATATTTGAGGATCTCTTTAAAAAATTTAAATAAAAAGCCTTTTACTTTAAAATTGCAAAACTATTTAGAACATTTTTGTGTCAAAAAACCTTAATTTGTACCGTTATTGATATTCATCCTATTAAATGTATAATTACATGTTCTGAATTACGTTTTTAAGTAACCACAATGAGAAAAACAAATTCGTTTCCTAATAGATACATGTATCAAGAAATCGGGCAATATACATGCATAAACCATTTATTTCGCGCTACGTTCTACTATATTCTTATAAGGTACACTGCGTATATAACTAAACGCAGCACTTACCGTGAAAGGGGTACATGAAAATAGTTTTCCCACAATATTTCAAGGAACAAGGCTCCATAAACAATATTACGAAGACTGATTTACATTATCGGATAGTTCTGAACGCAACATATGGGTGGATTACTTTCTAAATTGATTGTAAACTGTATGTGTGTTCATATTTAGTGTATATATCGTAGAGATATTTTGTATTAATACAGTAATTTTTCTATTTAACTTTTTTTTGTAATTGTTTTAATTTCACTTTTCTGTTACAAGAATACATTATTGTAGCCTGTAGATCCGATAGATTTTATTCTTTAATTTGAAATCATCTGAGTTAGTGCACATCTTTTCATTCTATAGAAAATATTTAAATATACAATTATTTTTAACGGGAATTAGGTATTAAGTTCATACGTTTAAAATGACTGATGTTTCAATCGATTTGCACTAGACGTTGTCACAGGCTGACCTTAACAAAAGCTAGAATAAGAAACTAGAAAATAGATTTATGGGTTTGATGTCGTATTACTGCATATGATTATCCTTTGACAAGGGTCAGAAATCAGATCAGTCTGACTGCAAAGTAACAGCAGGATGTGTCATGACGGGTCTGTTGGCCTTGTGATTACTGACCCTGACTGCTAAGCCGGAGGACGTGCGTTCGATTCCCACCCAGAACAAATATTGTGTAATGAGCAAGCTCATTTATTCTGTGTGCAGTCTGGTTACCATAGTACAGGCTCTGCCTAGTTTGAGATCAACTGTCGTGTGTGAAAATTGTGTGAAGTTATTATTTTACTAGTTTACCTTCAAAAACATTGGCCAATATTTACATAGACTAAGCTGGCTGGCGATTGCCCGATATTGATAGCATTAATAACGATTTTGCTCGTATACCGATAAATGCTAACATATATCACGATGAGTAATAGAACTTTCATTGTGAGTTTAACGAGGAAATAACCATGCCCGTATACATGTCCCCATACATGTGCCCATATAAACTAGTGGTTATGAAAGAAATATATGTATCAATATTGACTGTTGAAATTTGTGTCTTTCAGTTTGATTCAAATAGAATTTAAACAGTTAAATACTGTTCATGTGTATGTATTGCCACATAATGGTAATTGATTAAGCAAAATACTACTATTTAGTACAAGTCCTCTACACATACACTATTTAAGAAAACGTTTTACACGTTCAAAGATAAATATCTCATGTGTGAAACAGTACCTATACTAATATTAAAAATCTGAAGCCATTTTTTTGTTTGTTTGGTTGACCACGCTCACGATCTCAGGAACTACTTTTTCGAATTAAAAATGTTTTTTAATGTTAGATAGCCCATTGATCGAGAAACGCTATAAGACTATACGAGTATAAACTCACATACGACCAATTGGAGCCGAGCATCAATGAAAATTGTTGTAAAAATGGAGAAAATTTATTCCTTTTGACAGACGCAGATAACTTGTTACATATTACACAGGTTTTGAAAGAGCTATTGACAACTAACATCCTAATATGGTTAATTTACACCCGACGGTCTTAACATCCACCAACTTCAGACATTCAGAATGGTATGTATTTACATCTAGGCGTGAATATTTTAGGTTAGTCGGGGCCAGCTTCATATTACAGGTAATTGCTTCTCAGAATTGTATGCTTGTTGTGTTGTAGAAATTATATCTAAACTTTACTTCAGTTTCTTAAATTCTATCCTCAAATACTGTATACTGGTGTCGCAAATGGATAAAACGCCTGTGCATTTTCTTACTGAGTCGATAAGTTCTTTGCCAGACAAACAAATAAATGGTAGGTATATTGAAAAAATACTGCTATACGTAATCAATACATATATATTGCCCATGCAGTGTGCACAAACTTTACTGTCTAATAAAGTAGGCACCACAAAAGTTGGCAAATAACTGTACTATACTGTACTATAAGTAAAAGACTTTGTTATGAGTAAAAAATAGTTTTGGAATAGATGAACAGAAGATTCAGAGTATATTTTAAGTCATATCTTTATGATGGCTTCCTTTTAACCTCACTGTTATCATTACGTAGAGTGTGTTGGGGTATTGCTGACGCATATAATTTCATATGCGTATTTAATCGGGAAGGGGCAGGGCAGGACAGCTGCGTCTTTTGTATGCTTCAGTGCTTGTGTATGATTTCTTAAATTTACCTTAAGTATTCTTGATTTGTGATATATCGTTTCTATGCTCTATTGCGTATTTTGTAAGCGTCAATACATATTATTCTGAAGACCTTACTCAAGATTGAACTTAAAAAAAAAAGTTTACAAACAAGCACACTGTCTTCAGAATACTAGTAAACAGTAGTGTACATTATGTAACTTTCCACGTACGCAGAATATATATAATATATATGTTGCGTAACTCATTTAAATAACATTCAATCGAATTTATAACTTTAATTGAGAGCATTAAAATACCAACATCACATCACATCATCAACAACCTTTAATAAACCGCTACTGGACATAACCTCCTTTCTAAGGAGAGCCTTAGAAAGGAGGTTATGTCCTACTATATCACGTGGACCAGACGGGTTAGTATGAGGTTTGTTTTTAATTCTCTTGAAAGGTTTATTAATTCTGTTAAAAGGTTTATTTTGTACCAAAGTATATATTATGCTTGTTCTTCTAAATTTATGAAATATGCAACGATGCCTAAAAGTCTACTCTTTTTTATAACACTTTGTTAAAGATATTAGATGAATACAATTGTAAAATACTTAATATTCTTTAAGAATACATAGTACTTTTAGTAAATACATAGTACTAAAGCATCTCATGAAATATTTGAGATGTCAATTGCTCTTTCATACAAAACTTTTGCGCTGTTTTAAAAAGTTACGAATTAAAAACTAACGATTGTATAAGTGGTGTCCAGTGAATAGGTATAGAGTGGATATGGTTTTGGGTTTCAGTCTGCGGTTGAGTGGCCAGGGCGCCGAGTTCGCAATCAGATTGTTTCTACTCGAGCGCGCCGGTACACAGTGGCGAGTGGCGCGCCATGCGTTGATGCGTGGTGGTATCATGCCACCGCTCACTGAGCTACCCGTGACCTTTTCGACTAAACTCGAGTATTTCAATGGTACTTAGTCAAATTAAAAAAATATTACGCTTTTCATTATATGTGATCATACAATGCAATTCTTTCACAAGCTTCATGAGCATAAGAAATTTTCATGTCTTTGAATATACCTACTTACATATTAAAACAGATACCTTTCTTGAAATTACTTAAGCACATTCCCATTATTGCTATAATTGCTATAATATGGTTATTTAAGAGTGTTTAAATCCAAAGCTAAGTTTAAAATACATCATTTATGAAGAAATCCAATTGTAGCAGTCAGTTTGTTTGCCTGAAATGAATTGCGTATTAGGCCTATAATGCCTATTCAGGAGTTATTTGTGTGTTAAGGATTATACTGAAAAGCTTAATTAAATAAGTTGCCCTAAATTGAATGTTCAGCTTAATAAGCTCGCTTACTATTTTGCCATGTGTTAGACTATCTTTGTCCGAACGAATGTAGGTATTAATTTTATTATAGTTTTCATGTTTGACACCAGACGTCTTTATTTTTAATCACTAACAATGAATGAGGCCGTTTCAATCAATTTATCTTTACAAATTTTATTGTTTCTTTAATACTGTTGGGGTTTATACAAGTCATTTTATTATTATATTTTAAATATTTTATTACTAAGCCGTTAATTTTTTAGGACAGCTTGGCTATGTTTCAATTTCTTACGTTACAAGAACATTTCTTGGTGCTTACAAAAACATTTATCTTGCAAGAATTTCTAAAGTTTTTAGTAAATATGTGTAAAGTGGCGTAATTCATTTTGTGCTTTTCCTGTTGAACATTCGACGCATCGCACCAATTTTTCAATGGCGTCTAAAAAGTGCAACCTAAAAGTATAGTTTTATATATAGTTTAGTCCAGAATTACTATAGTAGAAGTCGATGTAATACTTGGATGGCTTCCAAGTAATAAAATTCTTTGTAAAAAATATCTCAATTCTATTATTCCACATCTGAATCACTAAAGTGCATCTTATGTAATGTGCCCAGATTATTAGTACTATTCCTATTGATTAAGAGACATTTAGTTTATTACCTACTATTGTGTGTAGTATATGAGACCGAAACTGAAGACATTTCTTAAACTAAGGAAAAGATCACACATTGCAGAAAATTTTAAAGGCATTTTGTAAAGCTGAAATTTGTATACCTAGGAATCTCTTCTCACCTGTGAGAAGCCATCAGCATTATAAACATAGACATGGAAGTTCCAGACAGACAAACTTAGAGCCCGTCATTTTAAATGTAAATGTTTAATGACTGTATTTCCCAATCTAGTAACAAGTTTACGACTTTAATTTCAGGCAACCACAAACTAAACAATACACTTGCAGAAAATATGACTAGATATGAGTATTGTTTTGTGAGTGGAAGGCGCTGTCGCTTTCGGAAACAATCAACATCCGCCTGTGCTCGAGACAGCATCCACACTCTGACTGTGAGCGTCTCCCTACAGCAGTACCCAGTTAATTTAAATTTAATCGTACAGAGATAACATAATTCTTGTTATGCTATCCTCTCTACACTCTTAGGTTTGCTGGAAGAGAACTCAATAATGGGTTAAGCTCGCCTCTGTGCCCACTATTCCTTAATGTATTTTTTTTAATGGTCATATTGTGTACGTAAGAATATATAAATAAATAAATAATATATATTTAAATTTTCTAATTATTTATCTTTAGTGATCAAGATGTTACCCTGATTTTGATTTGCAAACGGATTTGAAATCATTGTATACAATGTTTCAAAGCCAAAGGGCTCACAAATCAAAATCACATGTAATATTAAATTTATTTCTATGGTTGTACATTTTATCTGCGTTTTACTGAGGGTGAATAAATTATATGGGTAAAATAAAAGTCACAATTTAACTCTTCTCATTTTTTGTAATAATCACATCTACAGTTCACTGGTTTTTTTTTTTGCCGCCGAATCCATTTTTCGACCTTGATGGTCTTGATCCCAAATCGCACTAATTCTCATTTATGCAACTGTTTATAATAAAACGCGAAAATCTTAAAGTATCTAGTATCTTTAAGTTAACGGCTCGCTATAACCAATAAACGAACCACGTTCCCACATAGATATAAGTTCATGATCAAGGTTTTCATTCAAGGCTCATTACAGCCCTATTTTGTTACAGAGCCTGTAACAGTGCTGCATGTTTAAAACTAGAACATATAAACACTAGACGGTACCTGTCCGTTAGTATATTTTATTATTCAAATGTAATTGCTTTAATTACCTTTAATGGCCTCTTCAAAAGCTCTCACTCGGGCTTTTCCTTAAGAGCCGTTTCCGTCTTCTAAAAAGTAATTGCCACGCTATATTATGGCGTTTTAAGGTGGTTTCAGCAGTTTTATGTTTGCGTTTTAACATATCAGGGATAGTAATTTTTTTAGGTCTTAAGCATGGAAGAGAGTTATATTTATGATGAATGTTATTTTAAGGAGTTAAGTTAAGCAGGTAACTTTGCTATTTGAACTATGAACATAAAAAACTAGGCTATTAATTGAACTCTCGATGACGTCTTCCGCGTCACCGCGGTATGGCCGGCGGTGCGTTGCCCTCGTCATCCAAAGTCGAGTTGGATGCAAAGAGTTCGCCTAGGAGATTTCTTCTTGGCATCATAGGCCAACGAATCATAGCCCATCTGCAGGGGTGGGAGGGTTTCGCTACAGAGATTAACCTGGGCAGCCTTGGCAAGAGACCAGAACGCACAAGTTCCTGAAGGAAGTCTCACCAGTCTCTCGCCAATCCGGCTGATGTACTCAGGCAATGGCTCTTTTGAGGGACTGGAGCCAAAGTTGAATTGTTTTTTTAGCATGCTGGTGTTTACATCAACTACCGTCTCTGCATTAGCCCATGCTAGGCTAGCCCATGCTAGGCAGGACGCCATTTTGGAGGATCTGTTGAACCAAGGCTTGGATCTGCCACCGATGGGAAAGAATATAGATAGAACGAATAGTTTTATGCCCTGAAGCATTACATCAGTAACAGAATCGGCAACTGAATGACTCTACATGTTAATACTATCCTCACAAGTTTTACACGTAAATATTCAATTATGTTTTATGTGTACAGGGTTCACAATCTAAAACGCGTAAAGGCAATTCAATTTTGGAACTCGTTATTTGCCCCTGCACTCTGTAAAATGTCTATTAAGACTCATTATTTTATAAATAAGACTTTACAAGCTAACCTTCTCGAAAATCTCGGTAGCTACTCTAAAAAAATGAACAGCAAGTTTCTTTGTTCACGTTTTCTAAATGTATTGTCTCAGTCCAACCATCTATCAGTCTAGACTAGAATCGTTAACTTTTGTATATATATATATATATATATATATATATATATATTAAGGCACTCCGGCAATTTTTCATTCATATAACGAACAGATTGTTATAATAGAAGTACTTTTAGTTACATAGTTTTATTTTATTTTTATTTTTTAAAAGACAGCGCCCGCAACAGGTATATATCCAGCCCCGGATCTAGGGAGGGGCAAACCGGGGCATCCACCCCGGGCGGCGTATATAATCATAATATACGAGGAATATGGTTTAAAATTAAAAAAAAACAACATATTGTTACCTTGATTGGGATCACGAAAAATGCCAACCACCATAATATATTTATAAGTTTTTTTAAGTTATTTACCTCAAACGCTGGAGGGTGGAGCCATTATTGCACAATGCAGCCACGATGCATATATCCTGTGTCGCGAGAGACTTTACAAACATACATGAAACAGACACAAATAATACCCAGACTCAGAATGACAATTTCTAGATCAAACAAAGTGTCGTCCCATATGGGATTGCACCCACAACACTCAGCGTAGTAGGAAGCGTCTGACGACCGCTTCCACCACTACGCCATCCATGCAGTAGTGTTATTCTAATTGTAATGATGATGAATGATGAATGATGAAAATTAGCCTTGAAAATAATGATGTATGAAAGTAAAATTGCCACGTTTTAAATGATCACTTTATCCAGGGTCACTATTGCAACTCTCACCACTGTCAACTCGAAAAATTTATCTGACAGTACATAATAATTATTATACTGAGATTTGGGAATCGATAAGTTGTTCCCAATACCCAGCTCCATGTAATTTTGAAAAATTAGTAACAACGGTTTGTATTATTATTAATCAAGACTATTTACTTAAAAACGTGAGCTTAAAAAGCCATTACCTAAAATTACGAAGTTTCATATAAATTTCCAACTCCCAGTTTGCATCCTTAGTTTTAAAAATCCTTTATTACACCTACGTCACCTAAGGCACGTTTTTCGATTTCATGTTTCTAGACCAAGCGCTTTCAGATGTGTGTTAATTGGCAGTCAGTAATTCAGTCTGTCAGTTTCTTCTTTTATAGATATAGATGTGAAAGTGAGCTTGTTTGTTTCTTTGTTACGTTATCACGCCTAAACCACTAAGCTGATTTTAAAAATTCTTTCAACAATGTAACGCTTCATTATAATATAATAATAATATAATAATATATTCTATCACATTCACACAACGCCATCTAGTCCCAAACTAAGCGGAGTTTGTACTATGGGTACTAGACAACTGATATAAATACATATATACTTTTTTTTTTTGTAAATACATACATATTATACATAGGAACACCCAGACCAAATGAAACATCAAATGTTCATGCACACAAATGTTTGACTTGAGCGGGAATCGAACCCGCGACCTTTGGAATAGCAGTCCGTTACACAAACCACTACGCCATCCAGTCGTCAAACAACAACTAACATAGACTACTTTTCACTGCGATAACTGACATACGCGCGCGCGAAGCCGAGGACAAAAGCGAGTACTACGAGTATATTCAGTAATAAATATATATTTTAACTTTTGTTTTCTGATGATGTCCAAACTTGAGCAATATAAGAGGAAAAAAATTACAATGTTATGAAAGGCAGACATATCATTTCTATAACATAATTCAATTAGTCAACTCTACGCGTAGTTACACGGAAAATCAATTAATTTTATCGGCAAAACAGCCGGATACATGCTAAACTTTGTGTAACTGTGACACTGAGGGGTCATTCCATACATTTATTAAAGATAATAAGAAACAAAATATTTTGCAGGATGTAGAAGTTCCCCTTCTAGCTCTTACGTAAACAACGGCTGTACAATACATCATCACTGAAGAAATTTAACATTCATTGCAAATACCTAATTGCATTGTTAAACAACATCTGTAGGCGTATTTGCTTAAATGTATATTCATCACATCACGTCAACAGCCTTAAATAGTCTGCTGCTGGACATAGGCCTCTCCTTAGAAAGGAGGTTTTGTCCTACTATACCACGCTGGCCAGACGGATTGGTATAGGGTTTGTGTCAAGTTTTCCTTCTCCTTGCAGTGTTATTATCCCGCGTAGTTTCCTCCCTTAGTCGACTCTTACGACACCCACGGAATGATTAGGGGTAGTGACATTCAGTATTCTTAATCCGTCACCATACGTACTCGTATATTACAAATTATAAATTAAATTAACTGTCAACTGTCAATCTTGCAGGTGGACGTTCTACACTGCACTGCAAGTGCAAGTGTATTAAACTGCAAGTATATAAAATATTTGGAGATAAACAAATCTGACCTGCTTCGTGCAGATTGCCGCAATTGTAATTTGATTGATAACCCTAAAATCAAATATACGTCACTGGGAGTAGTGAAAATAATATATGACCTAGATATTATTAGACTAGTTAACTTTGAGATTACCATTTTGAAGTAAGAATACCTCTTTTTGTCATTTTATTTATTTGTGAATCTTATCTCTTAAATAAATCTATATCTCTTTTGTTTTCAGAATAGCGCGACTACGGTGATTAGTGAGGCTTTCGAAGCATCGAGAATTTCAAAAGTAAGATTTTTATACTACTTAAAGACCTCGTGGTTGCGAACCCCTTTCAAATCACACTGTCGAGCACACGATGTGACATGTGATAAACAAGATGAAACCACACGTGTTAAGGAACGATAAATTCAATCATCCCTTCACATTTTCAAATAAGAGCGTGGCAATCATAGAACTCTTAAAAGGGACCAAACCTGCGTTGACAGCAATATAAGATGCCCAAGTATTTTATAAATTAATAAAGGAAAACAGGAATATTAATATCTCTTTTGAGGTTCCTCGTTAATATAAATTATTTAAGCTTTAAATCGTTTTATCTTCAGTTATTTCGGTTCACCAAAATGTTCATTTTGTTTGAAAAAGTATATTACAACACTTAAGAATTTTCATGACATAATCTTCATTTTGACCGGTCGCAAAGAGAATTCTCCTAAATAAGGAAGAACTCATATAATTATGTTTAGCTTCAATCATTTATTAACGCAAGAAAGCATTTTGTAATCTGAAACAGTTTATTTTTGGGATAATACAATCAAGACACCTTGTTATAAACTTAAAGTATTAAAACTAGTTTTATTACCTTAAATTAAAATTTCAATTTACTTTAAATTTTCTCCTCCGAGAAAAATAAAATGAGATCCTTCCTTCCGTTCCTTCTCAATTGTTGTACTTTATTTTAAGAGTCCAACAACCTGATCAACGCATAAGTTTTTTTAATATCAGCAATGATAGAGAATTCGTATTTCATGTAATTCTGAAAAGAAGAAATAAGAACTAGTCAGTGTATATTCCAGACAGATGATCATTAACCTAGATCGATTGACTAATAACTGCGTCTCTCAGTCTTTTCACAATAATTGACGATATATCAGGTTGATGGCAGTATAGAAAGTCAATTATGTAAGCTGCGACTATGGTCACAGTTCAATTAAAAGATGCCCGAACGTTGCTTTGTTAACAAATGGCTTGTTGTGTACTCATGGACAAAGATATTTATTCTATTCATACCCTTTAAATTACTTTTATTAATAATGAGTGTAAGAAAAAGCCTGATATCAGAGATCTTTTGTATTTAATGAATTTCTACATAGAATATATATACTAGTCATAGGTATAAATAATAGTAGATAATCAGTTGAAAAAACATATTTCTCAGGGTCCATTCGACACTCAGTCAATAAATAATTAGTAGATTTTGCTGAGTGTTGAAGAGACTAACTAAAAGAAAATGATACACTAACCAAGTAATTTAATTATTTAAATAAAATAAAAAGAAAGTAATTTATTGCAAGTACATTTTATTTGTTCTAAAACAAAAATTGGTTTACATAACTTAAATGCAAGCAAGCTATGCTTCCGATTTTCAGCTGGTGTAATGCAAAAACTATTTTAATTGCATAGATATGTACACACATTCGCATTTAGAACTCGCTTTGTTGCATTTTTGCCATGCTGCAAACACAGCCATATATTTTAAGAAACCATTTAAATGGAAAGTCTTAGATTTGTGTAGGTCCAGAGATAAGCTAAACTTTTTCTGTACTTTACAAACCTGCCTCTCGTACACGGTTTTGTTGTAGTTAAAGTTTGCGATTATTTCAAGTTCTGGCAATGTTAATTAAGACATTATTATTGTCATAGAGTTACAACAGCCTTCTAGACTGTATAGTAAGCATAAATTGTTCCATGGGTTTTAGAACACAAATAAATACATTTAATAGATACTTAGGGTGTTGATAGACGGGATAGAAAAACAAACCTATATTTTTAAACAATACGCTGTGAAAATTATTTTCTTAAGATTATTTTTCAACTATTTCACGGCCACATGTAGTGCTAACTAAACTTCTCTATAACGCTATGTATAACAAATCACCAATTCTGGTATAATACCTCACTGGCGATAGAAAGCCTAGTTTATGCCTTGTTTAACATTTTTTGACAATGTTTTATTAGTATACCTAAACTTGTATTTCTTTCATACGATAAAATGTTATATTTTGATGCTAATTTTTTTAAGACTGGTTGTTTATAAACGTTAGCATTGAATGAATAATATTATTGATTTTCTATTTTATGAACTGTATTTTGACAGCGACTTCTTCTTAAAAAAGGTTTAATCTAGCGTAAATATTTTTTTCAATCTAAAAATCTAAGTAGATCTCTATATATACATATATGAGCAAATATATCCAAGTCAATATCACAAAAAAGGACGCCATATCTATCCTAAGCAATCCAAGGTCGATAAAACCTACTACAAATTCATATCAACAGTTATATTCATAACGTGTTGCGGTTTTCTTATTATCTTGTCCTGTGTCTGAATCTCGAGCGCACATTATACATGCCTCACACAGACAAGATTTATGTGTATTCTGCGAGGGTACAATGGCTTGTTTGTCTCGGCATTTGTCATTTGACCAGTGCAAACGGCTGGGAAATGTTCCAACAAGGGTTGTCATCGAACCGCTCGCTCTTGAATGCATAGTTGAGCATAAATATGACACAAATTTCCCGACTGTTTGTGATACTGTATATGCTTGTCTACATATTATTTTAATTTGACTGGCATTGGGTAACTTATTTTGTTAATTGTTAATAGTAATTGTAATATTCTAAAAATAATTATTAAAATTGATCTTTGTAGCGATTTTTTGAATATTTATTGAAGCTACTTTGGCATTAGCTTTAATAAATAATAAAAGTAAAACTAATGAATTCGTTATACGTTTGAATTCATTCCGTAGTCCTAACAAGCAACTCTGTTTATTATTACATGTATATTTACTGTACATGTAAGTGAAAACTGTAATGCTTTCAAAGTGATTAATAACCACATAACTCAAATGGTGTGACTACAGGCCGGTCCACAGACGGTGACAAATTGGAGTAAACGCTCTCCCCCACCTCTCGTATAACTAATGAATCTGTCGGTTGAAATGTTATGCTTGTAGTCACTATTACCTTGTGCCTTCAAATATTCTAAGGAATATCTGAAGAAAATGATTGGAGAGTAGTTACCATTTAGATACGAAAATATATTTGACCAAGTAACAAGTAAATTTATTTACACTGGATACTGTATGATGACTGTATGTACGAACTCGCTGTTTTTTTAACTTGTAAATAACTGTATAAATAGATATTTTAATTGCTAGTGAATATTGATGGAATGTCATGTTGTTTCAGAAAACATTTATAATAAAAAAACATTGAAATTTACCTAATTATTAGTTGGTTAAAAAGGTTAAGTTTTGTATAATGTTTGCTAAGTGGCTAAGACGCAAATCTTATTGAAAATCATTTTTTTAAGCAAAAAATATACTATTTAGCGGCTACACTTAACCTACTAAAATTTGTCCAAACCTTTTATAAACGAAAATGAAATGGAAATTTGATTCCTACTATTGCCAGACAATTCTCATTTAGGTAATGAAAATGTCGCGATGTACACTGATTAGTTTGGCAACACCGAAACTGAAATTTGCTTTCAGAAATAGATGAACAAGTAACAATAAATCTTACTTCATTCTGCATTAATGTATTTGAAGTAAAATAAGTGTTTATCCTTGAATTTTAACAATGATATTTCTTTAAAAAAAACTATATTATTAACTACATCAAAGCCAGTTTGTCAGTTATTCAATTTTCCTTGCCTTAAAGCTCGCTCGAATAACTAATAATATACATGCTAGCACTTAGCTTGATGATAACTTTACTTTAACATGTATATGTCGAAGCATATAATAAACATTATCTTCAAAGGAAAGTAAACTGAAAGATTTGCATATCTATTGTTCTAAAGTTGAGTATATTGATACCTTCCGACCTGGTAGACTTCGTGTAAGGAAGACAGTAAAACTGTCTTAAAGTTATCTTTGGTTTTTGTTAGGCTTAATTTCTATACAATCTACGCAAAACTACTACTAATTTAAAAAGAGAAAAGTTACATAATTCCATTCATAAATGAACCAATATTTAAAGTTATATAAGCAATCAAGGAACTTTTTTTATCAAAATTCTTACTGGGATAGTGTTTTCGTATTTTGTATAAAACTATTTCACCATTAAACATTATAATAGCACTTGTACTCACTCACAAGAGTAGGAATGATGACGTTGAAGCCTATTTGTCACATGATGAAGTTAAGTGTAAATAAACTTAAATAAGGTAATTGATAGATTAATATTGCTCTGTATTATGTTTGTCTAACCTATTTTGTGCGTTAAATGTGGGCGTAAACGATCATTAACTAGGCCAACTGTGCAGTAATTAAAAACGCATCACTTGCAGGCTTCTCATGAATCGACATTTATTCCAACAGTACTCGTCTTTTACCCAGCTAAGCTGACGTTATCCTAATATTGATTAGCTCGAGGTTGTTCGGTACGTGATATAAATGTTATGTCAATACTGGTCTAGAAATTACACTTAAGTATGCATGACCGCAAAATCGATCGAAGTGGCTTGCAATGGGAGAGGCCTATGTCCAGCAGTGGACTGCGATAGGCTGATAATGATGCATAAATTATTAATGGATACTACTTAAATTTTATGACTTGATTTTTATTCATTTGTCATAAATACTACTATTTTGTCAGTTACTTTGGAATTATAATAGAACTGCCTTCAATAAATTGCTATGCGGTAAACTTCGATAAGTCGTTTAGATAAAAGGACCGTTACATTGTGATTAGAGCTTCACTATTACAGAACTAAATGACATTTCGAATCGTAGTTACTTGGTTAACGGCAATGTACTTACTTTTTCATTTGACCACTATTTATAAAATGGTGGAGTAAAAACGGAATCAAGTGTATTATCTGTCGGTAGAAGAGAATCTGCTTATTAACGTCGGCCTACTCTACTTCGTTTATCCGTGTCTTCGGTTATGGTATAGAAATATGTTAAGCGAATACTTTTTTTAACGCTTTATGCACAAAATTTTCAAATGGTGGACATAATGCCCGATCTATCTTAGGTTGGTGTAGAAATGAGTGA